TTCTATTTTATTTTATTCTATTTTATTTTATTGTCAACCTTGTTGGGTGAAATCTGTTGAGTTCACTGTGATGAGGATTTTGTCTCTTGTGCGGGACAAGGCAGTGTGGTGTTTCTTATGTTTTCATGATGATTTATCTGTTTGCATTCCTAAGGAAACAGCTTGCATTAAAAAGTTGTTTCATAAATCATAAATTTGCATTGGTTTACAGATTTCCAGCTTACGTTGTAGTATTTTAATGGTTAAAGTAATTGACGTCATAGATCTGCTTATAAGACAAAAATTGCCATTGTCAAATATTCAGAAATATCCCAGCTTGTGATTTTTCAGGTCCGCTGGAAAATGTGATGCCTGATTTTTAGAGTCATGAAGCAAGCACCTCCAGTACTGGGTATTCAGAGCTCCTTTGATAAAACCACCTAAAATAACAAACAGGGTATTGTGAAACTTAAGTTTTTTAGGAATCTGCAGATCAAGCTTTCTCTTAGTAACTGCGTAGCTGTATTTTTTTTATCTTGCTTTTGGATGGGTTGTTTTTTCAATCGTGGAACTAAGGTGCCTGGAAATCTTACCTCTTAGCTTCACAACTCAAGAGCAGACCGAGAGCATCTAGGGGAAATCAAGAGCAGGGTAGGAGAATGCATCATCTGAAAGCTTGGCTTTACTTAGGCATTCGGCAAAGTAGTTCAATACTGAAGGCTAGCATTTGCTGTAACTGTGGCAGATTAATTTAGTGAGTGAGCCATCACAGTGGGGTTTCAGGCCCCGCTATAGTGTGTAGTTATTACCCTGGGCCTGTTGTTTCCAGTCATGTTGTTATCTGTGAGATACAGCAGGTACAAGTGTGCTGTCTCAGGTGGACACAAATTAATTTCACTCATACTTACGAAGTATTTTGACATCTTTCATGTGCTTCTAAACTGCAGAGTGCTGTTCATTCTTTGCTTTGAATTAGGAAATCAGAGGGGAGAATAATCAGTAATTATGTCTGAACTGTATTTACATGTACAGGAAAGTAAGTTGAGTTACTCAAAAAATAACTCAAAGTACTGTGGAAGTCATGGTTGCACATAAAACAATTGGGAGTTAGTAGACATTTTCACTGCCAAAGCTTCCTCCTTGAGGCAGTGTTTCAGGAGTACTTGTATTCAGTGGTAAAGCAGTACAGGTAATCTGATGTATTGTCTATTAGCAGTTGCTTTCTGCACTGTCAGGAATGTGAGTATGTCTGTGTTTCAAGAAGTTTGGTAGGATAAATGAAGTCTAAAAAGTACCATGCTGCAGTGTTTGTATCTTGATTTATAGTTACAGACCTGGTTTTGTGCAAACAGAGTCTTGAAGATCTCAGGTACTCCCATGTTTGTATGCTGGAGGAGAATAGAGTGGTTTTTAGACCTCTGGCACCCTCCCTTGCCTGGTGTTTTCAGTGTCTTATTCATACGGGCTGCTTTTGCAGTCATGATGACTGCCTGCTCCAGAGGGGAGAAGGTGGCTGACTCAGAGCTAGGATGCTGTAGGTGGTTGATAGAAAGGAAACCCCAAAAAAATGTTTGGGTGGACCTTTACTGTTTGAGGAGACCAGTAAGTGATGGCATCTCTCATGTAGAGCAGATGAGTCTTCGTAGCAGATCACTGTGGATGTATACCAGATATCCGAGATACCTGAAACAATCAGAGCTGAAGTGAGTTCTGCCCTATCCAGCACTGGCTGTGAGTCAACTGAGCAACTCAGCTAGTTGTTGAGGCGAGTTTCCTCTCATTTTTTTCATCTCTTGGATTATGTTACACAAGAATATTTCTTTTTCCTCACAAGCCTCTCAAGAAAATGAACTTTTAATGTGGAACCCATCCTAAAGAAAGAATGACTTCTCTTTGTCTTCATAGTGAATGCAGAGGGCACTTCGGAGACATAAGGCACCAAATACAGGCTTGTTCTTATTTTGATCTACCCATTTTTGAAAGGTCTCTTCTCCACCCAGCTTGCAGGGTTTTTCTGTTTATTAGCCCAGTATTCCCTGACTTAAGATTCTATCTTACAGATGCATGGCTGGGACCCAAGTAGCTCAAATTCAGATGAAATGAGCAGTTCTTGGGTAACTTAGGCATGTGCTAGGAGTGGTGTGCCCATGAGCTTGAATCAGCACAGAGCTACTTTTTGCAACTGCTGTAAGAATTTTTATACAGCATTAGCTTTTGCTTTTGAAATTTTCAGCATCATCAGCCTAGAGGTTGGTCTCCTAGTGTTTCGGAAAGCAACACAAGTCTGTTTTTAAAGAAAGGTAAAAGGTACTGTGGTTATGATTGGGAGTCCATTCTCTTCCCAAGTAAACTGATGTTACCGTTGTAATTGTAGGAAATAGCCAGCAAGTGCCTCTCAGGAATGAAACAGAAAACTGTGAGACTTTAAAAAAGCAGATCAATCTAAAGCCTTCCACAGAGAAAAAGATTAATAAAGGACCTAAAGAAGAGACTCCATGCTGTGGAAAAGAGGAGATAACTGCTTCTGAGGTTTGTGTTGTGATATTCCTGCTTTCCAAATTTAAAATGATCTTTTTGTTTTTAATTTATATATGTATAGACATACAGGTATGTATGTGTATGTAGGGACTATTACCTATGGTCACAGATCTGAAAAACTGTAAATCAGATGAATAAAGAAGTACGCAGATGTGCTGTCCACGTCTACTGCATATTAATGCCACATACTGTACATTTATTGGAGGCAGACTAAAACACTTAAAGAACTTTATCAGGTAATTAGTAAACCCAAGAATTTGGATTATGTTTGTGTCCTGTCTACTACATAGGAAACTCACGGCAAAAAGGTGTAAGGAGGAATTGCTTACTATGCTGTGAGAGATATATATCAGAAAAGGCAGTGTCTGGTCTTGTTTTGGGAACTGTTGTTAGAAACTTCTTTCCATGTGTGGCTGATGGAGCTCAGTTCATTTCTTGCATTTTTTAAAATTACTATTATTTGTTGCTTAACTTACCCCATAATTTCCTCAGTTGTAATTCAAATGAATACCCCAAGCCCCACCCCGCCCCAGCTGCTGAGGAAAGGGAGGATTTATTGCCGCTGAACCTGCACACAGACTGATCATAAATCTGGCAGATGTTTTTTGGTTTTAGCACATTGGGAATTTTATTGACCGCTTTCCTTTTTCTCCCCCATTTTTTTATTTCCCTGGAAGTCAGATGCTGTGAGGGGGAAAATGCTAACATTGGGAATTCAAATATTTCTCTCTCATCATCTGCTGGTGTCTTGAAGGACAGAGTCTTGGAAAGTCTGGTCAAATTGATGGTGCTGGAAAGAGGATGTGCTGTGGAAAGGCACTAAATCATGAAGTAACTATGCATTTGGGTCAGGTTGTTTTGTCCAGAGAAATTCAGCTAGAAAAATCCAATGGAGTTCATTTACTGAGTTAACTTCATTTTATAATGTATGTAATTTCTTGGTTCATATTTTTACCTTTAGCAAGATGATGTGTATAGGAAGAAGAAACCTCAGGAGAAGAAGGAAGGAAATATACCAAATATGAATTGGAATAGAAATAGAACATCTAGGAAAAATAAGAAGAAGAATGTTAATATATCTACAAGGTATGTGTTGCCTCACCAAGTCATGAAGAAATCCAGAGTTGCTGTAATGTTTCCATAGATTTGCATAGTACATTTGGCAGGATTGCTTTATCTGTTTAAATAAACACAATTTAATCCTGGCCAGAGCCTTTATTTTTAAGAATGTGCAGTACTAAGTATCACCAAGAAAATATTCCATTTGTAAATCTGCATGTATATAGACATAAATCTGCATGTATATAGAAACACCCCATTCTGTATAGCAGTGGTTGCTCTCTGTTACAGTCTGGAATTTGCTGTTTCTGAAGTTTGGATGGTTAGTTTCCTTTCCATTACGTATTATGTGAATAAAATCTAGTCATGTATTCTATTCAGTGGAAAAAGGAAAACAAAATTGTTGAAATGGTCCCACCTTCGGGAGAATCATCTGCTGTATTGAGTACCTGAGGGAATGTTGTCTTCTAGTAATTCTGGAAGATGAGAAATATGTAGAAATAGACAGTGGCTTGCATTTTTGCCATAATGATTACAAATACTAGGCTCAAAAGAATGTTGAGAGCACCTTGGGTGGTTACTTTTGGTTTCCCCTTAAGGGTTGTTTAAATGCATTTCTAATGTCGGTTGTAAACTACTTTTAATAATTTTGTCATGTATTTTAAATTACTTGGATTATTGTTAAAAGATACCAGTTATAAGCTGCTGCTACAATAGAAACACTTATGAGGAGAAAATCCTCCTTCCCTTCCCCCAGCCCTTTGACTTAGGTCATGATCCTATAAAGCCTTCACAGACTTAATTTTTGTTGCAAGTGGTCCTATTGAGGTCAGTGAACTTAACAAGGAGATTGTAAATCTGAAGGGGCTGTTATAATTCATTATAAACAAATTACTATTCATTGTATGGGAAGTCAGCACATGTGCAAATCTTTGTAGGATGCACACCTTTGTAGCTGGGAAGGATAAAAAAAAAAATTGGAGGAGAAATACTGAAAATTCTGTTCCTTGAACTGATTCAGCAGTTGCTACTTTCTGAATTAAGATGTAACCGTTCCCTTCCTGGAGAAACTTGACAGCTGGATTTTATTCATTTCCCCTTAATACTCTCTGATTAAGATATTGGATCCAGATATTTCGGTCTTACTAGCAAATACTTAAGATTACTTCAGATTATGGTTTTACTCTAGTTACAATTATGCCAGTGAAACAGACATAGGACACATTTTTCTGTGTATCTAGGTCTTCACAGAATGATAAACTGTGCTTATCACTGTAGGATCTGATTGCTTTCTGCAAGTGCACTAGAGAATGGAGTTAAACGTACACACATTGTTTTGCTTACCCCCTGAGAAGTAGTAGTCTGTGTGGTGGGATAGAGCACTTTGGGAAAGGCTTTTTAGCTTTCTGTAAAGGTGGGGATTAAGACTCCTGAACCTATTCTTTGCCCCACGTGCTGCCTTGATAGTCGTGTGAGTTGAAGTGTTTAATGCCTGAAAAGGAAAAATGCAGCTGAAATGTAAAATGCAGACATCTTTCTTTGGGTGTGGTTGTATTAGGGTCCCTGAGCAGAATGAGTTGAAGCATATGTGCAGTGAATTTGAAAGGCCGGATCTGAGAGCAAGTATTGGAATAAGAGCCTGGTGTCCTCAGGGAAATGGGGAAAACTGTAAAGCGGACCAAAAGCCTGGGAGCTTGTCTATACAGGGAGAAACAGGTATGCAGTCTTAATTGTCTTAAATGGGAGAGGCAACATAATGTGGTTTTTGTGGCAGTAGAGCTGTATTCCTTCCGTGAGAGACTTGTGCTTCACTCTCTAACCTCGACGTGAAGATGGCAGGACTGGCACGATGCAGTGCCTGAAGTAATAGCTGCTCACTTCTGAAGGGCTCCACATACTTTGTCCATGAGGTTGGTTTGTGATGCAAATCAGGAGTCAGTTTAAAGCATAATCCATCAGTCCCGGCTGAAGGACTGAGAGTCTGGTTATGTGTTAAAATTAAAGGCGGTGTTAACTGAAGCCGATGTATTGTGAGAGCCACCTTTAGAATAGGCAGGTCATTTTTAAAAACCACCTCTAGCATGAGTACCTGCTTCCTGCCTTTCTGTCAAGAAGTTAAGCAGCTGTTTTCCTTGGCTTTGGGGAAGAGGAGGGCTGAAAAATGTATCAGTGTTTATAGGATTGTCTTTTGCCTCCCTGATAAGATAATAAGAAAGGAGAATCTATTGCGTATGAATTCTTTACTTGCAATATTTGCCATTGCTTTCAGTATGCATGTTTCTAGAGCCAGGATATGTCTCATATTTAAAATATTAACTATATATTTCAAAGAACAGTATGGGCTTCTTATTTCAAACCTATGCCCCTAACTGCACTGTATCCTCACTTGCATTCATTTTACTGAGGATGTCATGTAGGTCATAAGCTCCTTGTGGTAGGGGCTCACATGTTTATCTTAAGGCTATCAATAAATATTATTTTCTGTCCTATTATCAGTAAATTCGGAGAATCCGTGTAAATTCGTGTTTCAGATGACTTTTCACTGAATCTTCAGCTGAAAGATTTTCTTAAATGTTTTGTATCGTTGTGTTTTTTTACAACTTCTTTAGAAAGTTTTTACCAGCGGTCCAAAAAGAAGTGTTTGGAGAAGTTTTGCTCCGATTCAAGCTCGGATTGTGGAAGTTCATCAGGAAGTGTTCGTGCCAGTCGTGGGAGCTGGGGTAGCTGGAGCAGTACCAGCAGTTCAGATGGAGATAAAAAGCCCGTGATTACTGCCAGGCATTTTCTTCCATCCAGTAAGTTCTGCAAATATCACCTCTGCACAGCAGCAGGCAGACTTTCAGCCTTCCTTCTGAATGGAAGGGGGTATTGTGGCATGGGACACGTAAGCTGCTTTCTATAGGGCACCTCTCAGAAACATGGGGAGAGATTTAAAGAACTTGGTACTTCGAAATAAGTACCACAAGTTTTGTGGGGATAAAGATGAGCTGTCAGGTTACAGAGAGTGTCAGGCTGCTCACTGACGAAGCTGCTCAGTTAGTTTTCATGGAAAGATGGAAGAACCAAGAGTCACCAGTCAAAGCAATTTCTGCCTTTGTATTTATGTTATATCACATTATTCTTCAGAAAATATTACAGCTATTTAAGAAATCCACAAATGAGGAATGTGTGAAAGCAGTCCAGATCTGAGGATGCTAGGATTACATAGTTGTATTTGAGGCACAAATAGCCATGAGACCTGAGCCACTTGACTGATATGTAAAATGGGAACTGTGGTTCATTACTACAGTTTTTTGAGTACCTAAATGTCATTTAAGTAGTTGAAAGCCTAAACCCTGTTACTGCCATCACTATCCAGATTCACATGACACTAGAAGTAAATTTTAAAGAAATTTTAAAAAGCTGTTTTGAATAATTTAAAAATAGTATGTACTTACATGTGTATTTGTGTAAAACTTCCCATTACCAAAAGATAGTATTTGATGTATCTAAACACCAATCTAATAGATGATGAATTGTATATACCTGATTTTTCTGTTTGTTCAAATTGTGATGCCTTTTAAGAAAATAAGTACTTTCAAATTCAAAATTGGTTTGGTAGTCACAAGGAACCTCTCCATTTAGAGTGTGGTAATCACTTATAAGTCATAAAATACATTTAATACCATATGGACATAGATAGCACGCTTTGAAATTAACGCAGTTAGTGATACTCTGGTGTGAGAGAAAACTTGATTAACACCATTGATGATTCTGTTTCTTTGTACAGTATATTCTGTGCATACTTCTTTTTTTAGGATCTTTGATTTTCACAGTCATTCTTTTCTTTAGGAGAGAATATTTCACAAAATGATTTTCCATCTGAAACTCCTATCACTTTAAATCTGTCTCATAACATCTGCAATACCAGGTAAAAAAATTGAATCTGCACCTGTAAGACATTAAAGAAACACCACCAACTTGAAATCTTGTCTCAGTTTGAGAAATTATACCTACCTGTTGTCATTTTTTGTGATCATCTAATTGCACTTACTGGTGAGAAGAAGGATCTTCTTCAGTACGTGCAAAGAGATGCAAAGTGGATTATGCTGGAAAAATACAATAAATGCTTCCAACTGTAAAATAAAATTGGGGGGAAAAGGAAAGTGTTTTTCTCCTCTCATTTCTTCCAGATCTTAGCAACTTACTACATTTCCATTACCACTTTGTTATATCAAAGTAATAACAGTTAAAAAAAAAAAAAAAGGTGGGAATGAGACTTTCAAGTTGATGCTATTCTTTGAATGGGAATAATGTTCTTGTAGGATATACAGCATGAAAATTGATTCCCCCCGTTCCCCACATTCTTTTCTACCTCTTTACTGTAGTAGTGATAGCATCTACAATTTTTACTGTGAGTCCTCATTTCACTTCTCATTCATAACTCTCTGTTTTTACTAGCAGAAATAATTTAATCCTTTCCCCCTGGGATTCTGGTGCTTGTAAATGTTCCCTCTCCATTCGTTTTGACTAGTTTCTTTGATTGGTTTTGACAAATATGAAATCAGTGTTTATGTGTGCCTTTGTATCTTCATGGACATAAAAGTAAACTTCTCTGAAAGTTGTTGGGAGCATTGAAACGTTATGAGAGAGATCCTATTCATCTTCCAATTTTAGAGAAGACCTATTGAATTAATCTGCAATAAGTTGATACTTGGAAAATAGAAGTGGGGTAATTAAGACATAATAATTTTACTCATTTTGCATGTGTTTTAATTGGGGAAAAAAAACCCCAGCTTTAAAACTTTACCCAGTGGTAATTCAAAATATGAAAAATCAGGAAAGTGAGAAAGCAGTATCAATCATGATGTTCCTTAGAATATTTTTTACATCTCTGTATATTTCCTTCAAAATACTTTGGATTATGAAACATAACAGTGTCTAGACTTAAGAAATTAAATTTTCTTTTCATCCAGCAGAGACATGAACAGCATCCCCCAATATCCTGAAACCTTATGTCCCAATTTCACTGACATAGCTGCAGATCCTGACAAAAATAAAGGTCAGTTACTGAAGCTGGTTTTTGCACACTTTGTTAAGCAGTTTCATTGATGTTGTTAATAATGCTTCTATACACCAACTTGATGGACATGTTGTTATTAGAACTTCTAAACAAGTTAAGAGCAAAGTTAGCTTTGCTAAAGAAAGGCTTATAACTGATTTTTTTGCTGGATCTACTCTGTGTTAATCATAGAATCAACTAAGTTGGAAAAGACCTTTAAGATCAAGTCCAACCATTACTCCGGGACCACCACTAAACCATATCACTGAGGGCCTTATCTACATGTTTTTTTAACACTTCCAGGAATGGTTATTCCACCACTGCCCTGGGCAGCCTGTTCCAATATTTGATTACCCTCTCTGTAAAGAAGTTTTTCCTGATATCCAATCTAAACCTCCCCTGATGCAGCTTGAAGCTGTTACCTCTTGTCCTATCGTTTTTTACTTGGGAGAAGATGGCATTTAGGTTTCAACTCATTTTAGGTATTCTTTGGTTTTTTTTTTTTTTTTTCATCCTTTTGCTTTGCGAGATTTAAAAGTAAAGTGGTTGGAAGATGAAGAGCACTGGTTGCTGTGTTAAAATGAAGCTTGGCATCAAATCAAATATGACCTTTTGTCTCTAAATTTCTACAGCTGGGACTTGCTCTCTTTGAAAGCAGTAATGAATGAAGCTGGGTTGGGCTGTTGAAACTCTCTGAGTTTTCGCTGTTTGATGTTGTTATTAGAACTTCTAAACAAGTTAAGAGCAAAGTTAGCTTTGCTAAAGAAAGGCTTATAACTGATTTTTTTGCTGGATCTACTCTGTGTTAATCATAGAATCAACTAAGTTGGAAAAGACCTTTAAGATCAAGTCCAACCATTACTCCGGGACCACCACTAAACCATATCACTGAGGGCCTTATCTACATGTTTTTTTAACACTTCCAGGAATGGTTATTCCACCACTGCCCTGGGCAGCCTGTTCCAATATTTGATTACCCTCTCTGTAAAGAAGTTTTTCCTGATATCCAATCTAAACCTCCCCTGATGCAGCTTGAAGCTGTTACCTCTTGTCCTATCGTTTTTTACTTGGGAGAAGATGGCATTTAGGTTTCAACTCATTTTAGGTATTCTTTGGTTTTTTTTTTTTTTTTTTTCATCCTTTTGCTTTGCGAGATTTAAAAGTAAAGTGGTTGGAAGATGAAGAGCACTGGTTGCTGTGTTAAAATGAAGCTTGGCATCAAATCAAATATGACCTTTTGTCTCTAAATTTCTACAGCTGGGACTTGCTCTCTTTGAAAGCAGTAATGAATGAAGCTGGGTTGGGCTGTTGAAACTCTCTGAGTTTTCGCTGTTTGTGTCTCTGAGGGAAGTAATATTAGCTTGGTGAGCGCGATTCATAAAAACATCAGGCATGGTGATGTGGAGTTTGCAAGATGGTTAGGACACAAGGTTCTTCAGGCAGCAGAACTGCCTGCCTGTGACTGTCCATTCTGCTGTAGATTTAACCTGAGTGTGTAGGGCACAAATGCTGATAAAACGTTTTCCATGGTAGCAGTATCCATAATCACAGAATCAGAATAGTTAGGGTTGGAAAGGACCTTAAGATCGTCTAGTTCCAGCCCTTATCATGTGAAATGATGAAGCAGAGCTGCCTTTGCAACCCTTTTCTCATGGAAACTGCTAATTTGGATTTCTTCCTTTCTCCAGCTGCCAGTTCTCCTGGGGTTGATAGAAACCAAGTATCTGTGGGCAGTCAGAGCACTTAGTCCATAGAAAGCAGCACAATGAATATCTGTCCTAGGGGCTAAATACAGCCATAATCAGTTCACATATTGTTTGGTCATGAATAGCTATAGCCATTACGAATGCAACCCTGTTCCTGCTGCATTCGTTCTTGGTTAGACTTCAGAGATGGTTAATGACTGATGGATGAGGGAGAGGATGGATATATCCCTGCCTTCTGTCCTGCCGTGAGGAAGGGTGCTGCCTTGATGCTGGTGGCTGGTGAATTGAGGACAGTCTGTAGGAATTTCTTGCCCTGTATTGTTGAATTTCTGCTTCTCAGTTCAAGTCTTTTTATGTATATATATTTTAACACATAGAAATTTTGAGATTTGTTTAAAGGTGGACATTCATCACAAAAAAATAGATAGGTTGGTAACTGGATTTTTTTATCTTACTTACAGTCTTTATCATGGATCTGATAATAAAATGTCATTGTGATAATTGGAGTTTGTGGAGCCTTCTTCCTGTTGTCCTGCATTTCATTCCTTTTTCCCTTTATAGGTCTTTACCCAGCAGGAGACCTGTGGCCTGCCCAACCAGTCTGCCTGACAAACAGTTTAAACTACAACCTTGAGAATAATATACCATGCATGATCCAAGAAACCCCTTCTGTCCACAACAGGCAAGTTATGTTTCATGTAAACATACAGAGGACTGCACTTGCACTTGAGCTTATAATATTTGTAAGGCAGATGATAGTTAAATTCTTGCTATCAGTTCAGTCTCAGTTCTAGTTGTTTATGCTCTTCCATTAGTACAACATGATTAATTTTGCTAAGACAGAGGTGTTCCTGCTCATATACAGATGTCCAGGAACTTCTTTCAAATTTAAATACTTCTTGGAAAGCTTTTAATTTCTTCCACTTCTTTCGCATGGCCGGGCAGAGGGCCTGGCTTTTGTATTAGTTGCCCTCTTGCTAAATACATAACTTCTGCGTATCATGGGGTGTGCTATGCAGTGAGTGCTGTGTTAAATGGCATGAACAGACATTGTTAAATAAAGACAATTCAGTGTGGTGTAAGGATACAAGCTCATCTTACTGTTCAGGCCCTGTAAAGATTTGTGTTGATATTCCTGTAGTAATGCGCTTGAGTAGTTCTTATACTTTAGACTCTCCAGACTGCAAATTTTACTAATGAAAGATGTGCCACAAACTTGGGAGAAGAAACACTCTGCCACCACATAGCAGTGAATTAGAGCCAGTTCTTCAAGTTGGATCCTGTCATCCAAAATGGCACAGTGGTAACACGGAAATCCCCGAGTGACAGTCTTGTGATCCCAACCAGCCTGCTGACCTCAATTCTGACTGTCACGTCAACAAACTGCAGCCCTAGTGATTGGGAGCAGTGACCAGCAGTCTGTCCAACTCTGAAATCAGATGAAATACATGTGATTTGTGGCAGATTATGTATTATGCTAGTTTGCTTTCATACACCCATCTCAATTTGGACTTTATATGCAAAAAATACATATAAATATTTATTCATATGTAGTACCGATAACTTATGATAGCTTCTTGCCTGAGTAGTAAAATTGAATTAGTACAACTTCAAGTGAAATTCTTTTATATGCCTACCTTGTCCAGACTGGATCCAGGCTTGGACTTCAAGTTTTCTGCATAGCAGGGCTTGTTTCACTGCTGACATATCTTCAAGAATTACTTTTGAAAAGTCTTCTTGAGAATCTGAAATTATTTTAATTAAAACAAGTACAATCCCTAGAAATTAATGTGTAGTTTAGAAAACATACTGTTTACCAGGTCTTTAACATGTGTGGTAGGG